GAAAGGCTTTAGTAGAGCCAACGCTCAAATCCTCGGAGCTAGGAGGGCCCACCGGCAGCCATGAGTTTAATTTATCCTGACTGAAATTGTCCGCCCAACCTGCTGTAACGTATAGAATCTACTAATCCTGATACAGTAGACTCACTAACCAAGCAGGATATCCTAAACAGTCAATTTAGGATCCGCCAGATGACTATTAGGCATAATTACTTAATAGGGGGTTGGGATAGAGTTGGGTAATTCATCTTACCTCAGTAGAAATTTTTTGGCAGGTTTTGAATTAATTTCGTTGAAAACTTAAAGTGATTCTTTATGATTCACACAATAACTTAATTAGTTAGACCAAATATGGTTGTGTGTATCCAAGATGCATACCGGTTCTTTATCTGTGTGCAGGAGGACTAAAAGTGAATTGGGGACCGCGAAATGTAAATGGCCTTTTGAATAAACGTTAACCATAAACAGTCTCACAACACACCACGCCAGAGTGGTGCAGGGACAGTGACTTGCGGGTAACCTGGTCCTAAGAGATAGTGGACTTGTGCCGTATCTACCGCGCTCTCTGTTCCCTCATCCACCTGTGGCAGGACAAAGTCGGGAACACCGGAGGCGCGATCGGGCGCAGTTGGCTAGCGCAGGGTGAGCCTGCTGCTACCCGTGTCACCAACATCCTTTCCCCAAGTTCCGCATTTGTTGTTATGGAAGCGCAACCAGTATAACGCCTACCGTGGCCTGATCTGCCCCCCTCCCAGCCCCATCTTGGTCCAGCGCATTTACTACGTGACCCGTTTAGGGAGCACGATGCACAATACAGTCCACTTGACGCAATGCTATCCAGGAGTTTAAACGTCCATCAAATCGCTAAAAAATGGATGGCGTCATTGTGATGCATGGGTGGTCAACTCTAAAAATTGAGTTACTTTTTGTTTAAAAAATCACAGCTCAACTCAATCTGCACATATCTTACGAAATAATGTTGGGAGCCCCCACCCACCCTTAAGCGGTTTGTCTACTGGTTTACGTCCCAGGATGGTCTGTCTGCTTAATCGAATTTGTGTTAGTTTCAGAAAGACTTTGGATTAAATTAACTTCACGTTTTTTTTCAACATGGATTGTGATGGTTTGGTATATGTGACTTACGTACCTTTTCGAGATGTCTAGGCACTTGGTTTTTCACAACTACGAAAAAGAGAAACCACACTCTTGAAGTTATTGATTTAGCCGCAACGACATGAAATATAGATATCCGCCCTATTCA